TTCAGAATCCCGATCGACATGTCCAGAGCGATGAATCCCGTGATTTAGGATTTGACTGTTCAGGGTTTCAATCTTCAGCAAATATAGGGGCAAATATAGGGCGGTGCAGCGAAGCAGGGGTAATCTCACGGAGATAACGACAACTCTGAGTGTTCCCAGAACCAGCCCGAAAACCCTCAAGCCCAACATTTTTCGAGGTCTTTACGGCATCGTGCGGCCCTACGATGATGTGAAGCCTCTCAGTCCTAAACAGAGTCATCGGGTTGGGAGACCCTTCACATGGAGTCACGGAGATGCAGGTGGACGTTGGTAAGCAGGGCTCTACGGTACTTTATGCTGCATGCACAGCAGTGTGCAGAACAGGAGAGTGTTGAGCTCGTTACTATATTCAGACCTCTATATTGCTAGGCATGAAGCAGTGTCGGGTTAAGTTTAAGGGTTTAGGGAGGTGTGGCACGAGTCAGAATAGTTAGCTCAACAAAGCTATTGGCAGCAATATCCATCGCAACACCGATCATAATGATCATATGGAGTCTTTAGAATTTAGAGAAACGGAGTACTTTCAGGTTCCCGGAAAGTTCTTGAAGACGAAGCCCACTTTGGCCCCGGCTTCAGCTTTTAGCTTAACCAACCCAAACCCCTGAGCCCGAACGCCCCCGAATTTCTGCCCCAGAGCCTCACAACCCGTCCCCAGCCCCAAACACCTAGAAACTAACCGAACCCATAGAGCCCTGGGAATAAGAAACGACCTTGAACAAAACAACAGGACCCCGTAGATTTCTCCGACGAGCCCTTAGGAAAGAGCATAATGACAAAAGCGCTACATTCAAACACCACGACGGCTTCTGCATCCAAGGCCAGTCAGGGACGTCCCGATGAATGCCAAGATCAAGACCAAGAAAGGCCATGGACAAGAGGGGTTCTGGGGTTTCTGCACTAGGTTCTCTGGGTTTCGGGCTCAGCTTCAAGCACTTTGGTTTAGGATTTAGAGCGTAGGTGTTCGAGGTGTACGGTGTAGGATTTTGGGAGTTTCCGAACATAAGGGACCCTAATATAGTAGCCTAGATAGCAGGATCCTTATATTATAAGGACCCCAAAATAATAATAAGGTACCCCGAATTTTCGGAAGCTCCCATTTAGGATGAAAGGGGTTTGAGGGTTGGCAAGGCGTAGGGCCGACGTGCGGCTCACCCGCGTTGTTCTGAAGCCCATCAGTCTCCACGCCTACGGCTGATGATAGAAATCCTGCATTACCCAGAAAAAGGAATATACCATAATTCCCATAGTTTAGGGTCCTTAAGGTAATGCAGGATTTATGTCATCAACAGGATCCCCGAAGCATGATCCCAATCCTGAACCTGAAACCTGCAACTGTTCCGCAATGCCATTGCAAACACAAGAGACGAAGAAGACTGACAAAGTAACAAGTGAATGCCCCCACTTCACAAAGACTGAACCCTAAATCATTGCTGGCAGCCTTATGCCGGAGTTGTTCCGGCTATGCGGGTATGCCCGTGCCCCTGACTTGCTGTGCAAAGCTCGGGGAGTGGCCTGCTCCGTCCGTTCTGCTGTGCTAAACCCGAGCCACTAAGATACTTTGTCTGGAGTAGTAGAGGTGTCCGGGTTGTACTTAAGACTTAGGAGAGTGCATGAGTGTTAAGGATCTGGGCCTTCCGGCGGAAGCCGAATTTGAGCTAGAGCCAGGAAGCTTCGAAGTCCTTCTCCAGAGCAACCCTACACTCTGCGCCCTAAAGGCCGTGAGTTGCTAAGTTCTCGAAAGTTGACTTATATGGGTGGTTGTCAATATTAGGGTCCCTTTCTGGGTCCTTATTATGATACGGCACCTAATATTTAGGGTACCCGAAAAGGGACCATAATGTTGACAACCACCCATATAGTATTCTGGGCGAATTTCCAGACCCTATTCCTTAGGGTCTGAAGCGTCAGAAGTTTTCACGGCTTCGGCCTTGAATTCACCCGAATTCCCCTGGATTCTGGGCTGTGGGCTGGGCGCTGTTGGGTGTAGGATTTAGGCAATGTATTTAGGGTACATTGTACACAACCTTAAACCCTAAACTTGACTCTACACCACCCTAAACCCTAAACGCCTAAATCAGTTTACATCTATGTGTATATATATATATATATATGTATATATATATATATATATATATATATATATATATACATACGCGCTTACCTACATACATACATACATATCTGTATATACATACTTACGTATATACACATATATAATATATTTATATATATATATATATGTATGTATGTATGTATGTATGTATGTATGTATATATATATATATATATATTGATGTATATATGTATATATGTATGTATATGCTGATATTACAAGCACTGTGTGTGTACGTACATATATATATATGTGTGTATATATATGTGTACGTATCGAGGTTCTTTGAGTCCAGAGTATACACTACATAGGCACATGGCCCCTTAATTGAGGTTCGTCATCGAATCCTGGATATCCTCAAGGCTCCAGCTTTCGGGCTTAGCACCGCAGTGCTTTTTCAGAAAGGCCGTTAACATACCGAACCCTAAACCCTAGACCCTAAAGCCTAATCACCCTAAACCCTTAACGTACCCTAAACGGCGTTTTTCCGAAAGCCGTCAGGGCTTTACCTCACCGAGTTCTGGGGGGATTCCATCACCAAGCAGCCTCTTGGCCAGAAAGCGCCCTGGGTGGTTCATGCTCTTGCTGGTGAACTGTCGCTGTTAAGTTAGGGTTTAGGGCCGTGAAGTCTCTGGCTCGGAGTTCAGGGTTCAGGGTTTAGGTTTGGGAAGTCTCGGTTTCAGAGTTTCAGGATTTTCCGATCGAGGGCTGTCGGCCAGGTCGAAGGTCTACACCAATACCAATGGCAGCTTGTTGTGGTGTTTACAAGCTCGAGCCTTAACCGTCTACAGTCTTAGCGAGCTTTTGGATCTTGGAGGAGTTGGGCATGTGTTTTCAGAACTACGGGCAAGAAGTAAGGTTTAGGGTCTGGGGCCAGTTGCCACACGCTCGTCTTGCAGAGGGCTTGGCACTGGTGTTTGGAATGCCCCGAGAGAAGCCAATCATTTGCCCGGTATGGCTTGGACGATCTCATGGGGTCAAACTGCAGGGTTCATTAGGTGCGCTGGCAAATTTAATTCACATTCAATCTATTGCTCAACCACATGAACGGCGTTTGATTGAGGGATTGTTCAAAGCCACGACAGAGTTAGTTCTAAGTCCAGCGACGTCTGTGCGCTTCGTACGTAACAATCCTCCCACACCCTTTGTACTGCTAACCACAACGAATCGCATTCCAAGCCTTGTTCTCTTCAGTTGCGCCGCCATAGCAGCGCATAAGCACAGGGATACCCTTGCCTTATCTCGCGAGGCTCAGCAAAGATCTGAAATCCGTCAGTGAAGGCAACAAAGGCACGCCATAGCCTCTAGTTCAGGGCGGCGTGTTGAAAGCCGTTTAGTTTGCACCATGCTTAAATTCGCCTTGCAAGGTGGAGGAGGTTGAGGAGTTGATGACGGCTTTTGATTTTGGTAGATTTGAAGACTCTTGCTAACACGATCGATGGCCAGCATCAGTTCGAAACCCCCGAACCTTCAACCCCCATGGACGCCCCTAACCCTTGAAGTCTGAACCCCTAAATTAAACTTAAACCTCCAAAATTCCAAACCCGGACGAACTACCTACCAGAAACAGAAACGAATTCTTGGATTGCTGAGGATCGAGTCTGGCGCGCAAGGGTAGTATTTGTTTGGGGGTGTAGCGTCTAAAGTTCGGAGGTTGGGTTCGATGGTGCTACTAGACTCTAGACTAGATTGACTAGTGGCAATCCGCGGATTGCTTGCAAGTATCGTTCGTGGTCGGATTCTTCAGAGCTGAGTGCAACGAGTGGGCCAGGACTCGTTTTTCTTGGGAGGGATTCATGTAACCGGCGCGCCACATTGTAGAGTTCATTTCTTCGCGGTGTAGGGTTTGTAGTATATCTAAGATTGGCATCAACATGGGGGGGTGAAGAGATGGATCTAGACTTTTCCTGCAAGTTGCTTTGTAGTTTACGGGGAAGTGTAAGCTTCCCCAAGCCTCAAGCACGCTTTACTTGTGAGTATGGGCCTGGCTTGTTGGGATCCGTCTCTCCCCTCCACTCATCCCTCGTGTAGGGGCCTGACTAAATACTAGTTAAAAAGTAGATATCTTCCGGAACGTCCACTAGGTAGTTTACCATACCCCTAAACCGATTCTAATCACACAAACTCATTTGTGGAACTTCCTTCACTCTGGAAGGTGGACATTGCCTTCTCGTCAAGTGTGGGCCCTGAGTTGCTTCTCATACCGACAGGGGCGATTCAAGCGGAGAGTTCAGGGCTTTAGAGTTTAGGGTTCTGGGAGGGTGTTCCTGGTGGGGATATCTGGCTCGTAATTAAGGGGCTCCCACTTTAGAGGATTCAAGGCTTTGAGGGTGTGGGGCTACCCTAAACCCCAGACCCCACCCTTGAGCGCCGAGCTTGGGATTCTGGGGTCAGGTGAGGTGGGAGCTCTTGTCCTTAATGACTTAATGACTACTTCATGGCTACGAAGGCGGACAAAGCATCTAGCAATTAATAGTTGTGCTTGGGTGCGTATCGGATAGTTGTAGTTATAGTTGCAGGTTTGTATTTAGAGGAGTAATTAATTACATCCCCAAGATGCTAAGCCCAACAACTGCGCTGTACCGTCGCGGCCTTCCCCGTCTTCGTGCTTGAAGAGAGCAGATGTCGATAACTTCCCGTTTTCATCCCCGCAAAGTACAATCCGCCAAGGCATAAGGCCGTCAAGCTTTCCCCTACCCCACCTACCGCAGAAAACTGGTTTTGAGTCTGACAGCGACAGCTGGCCCTATAAAGAGAGAGGGACAGTGGGAGAGAGGTTCGTGTTGTTTGTGTAAGTGCTGTATGTATCGGAGCCACTGTTGCTAAGTGGCGGTTTGAATTGATGTTCGTTTTGCGGACAACGTAATTATGGGGTTTTGAGCACACAGAGTATGGGTTCAGGGATACGGGTTTAGCAAGCAGCATGGAGAGAGTACCGGACAGGAAGCGAAGTAGGTGGCTCTGGCCAGGTGCACCAGCGATGAGTACTTCCAGTCGGCCGCGGCCACAGACGTAGTCTTAGTACCACGATTTTCTAAGCTTCCTGAAGTACGTTTGGTACTGCATCATGAACCCTGAGAGCCCTAGTTTAGTCATTGGTGACATTTGTTAACTCCGCAATGAAAGTGCCGCCCACCTAAACCGTGAACAACCCAAAGCCCTTGAGATGACATTGCCCAGGTGCAAGCGCACAACCTCCCAGAGGGCACAACCTTAGTCGAGGCCGCGGACGGGCCTTCTGACTTCTGAGGGCCCAGAAGATTGTAGGGTTCTGATGGGTTTCATAGGGTTCTTCATGCGTCTTGTGTAGGCCTTACGGGCCTTAAGTCGTATAGGGTTCAAGGGTTAGGCTTCGTATATAGCCTTTTTGGGTGGTGTGGGGATTTTAGGGCGTCAGCTTTAGATTTTGTTCACCGTGATGAAAGAATCCGTTCATTCACAGGGTTACCCTTTTATCTGGATCTAGACCTGTCTTGAAACGTGGGCTCAATACAGGTGAGGTTTTTGGAGTCTGGGTCCTTTGTGTCAGAAAGGGTTGGGTCTCACGCTTTTGGGGTTCGGGGCTTTCAGTTCAGGGTTTGGGGGGTAGGCTGGAAGGATAGGGTCATGTGGGGTGCCTTTGACACACGGGAGAGGGCAGGCTGATTAGACTTTGGAGGTTGTGCTTGCAATACAGGCTTGCGTGGCGGGGATTTGGATTTCAGCAGCCTGAAGAACTAGCCACGCAGTCTCCTTGCAGGGCTTGTAATTGTAGTTCTTCGTTACGGTTTTGGGCTTGTGGCTCGGACTCATCAGCACATCGCGCTTTGCCAGATTCAGTTCGAGCAAGCGCCAGAGGATGTCGTGGCGAAAGCTCGCTGCCTGCTCCGTGGCAGCAGCACTTCACCAAAATTACCGCGAGTACCCAAACCTTCAACAACTACCCATCAGACCCGTGACCCCATTACCCTGAGGATCAAATCAAGCCGCTTTGGTTGTTCAGGTTTCACGTTTCCGGTTTCTATGTCAGGAGTTTGGGTTTAAGGTTTGGTATTTATGTTTTAGTATTTGCGCAAGGTTTAGGACTTAAGTTAGGCTTAAGGTTTAGGGTTTAAAGGCCCATTTTATACCTGGGTGGTTGTCCAAATTATGGTCCCTTTTTGGGTACCCTAAATATTAGGTGCCGTATCATAATAAGGAACCGAAAAAACGGACCCTAATATTGACAACCACCGCCGACCAACCCCAAAAAGGAGCTACCATGATGGTAGCTCCTTTTTGGGGTTACCTTATAGGACCCTAATTATCTGTGTTTAAACCAAAAAAAAGAAACTACAATGGAGACCATAGGTAGGGTTTGAAGGCCCATGTTATACCTGAGCCCATGAGGTTTGCCCGCTTCGTGGTGGAGAAGAAGATCTGCACCCCCGAGGGGCTCAAGGATTTCAAGTCGCAGGCATGTGGAGCGGTTTAGGGTTTAGGGTTTAGGAGCTGTCTTTTCCTGCCAGGACCCTCCTTGTACCTTCAAATAGGGGCATGTGGTCCCAAATAAGGGGCACTTAGGGTCTAATAGAGGGTAGATGGAGGGTCTAGGTGGGTTTACTCTGGAATCCTAGATAAATAGCAAGATTGTTCCTTGGGGCTCTGCTATATGTTTGTATTCCTCACGGCCCCCGATGTCGTGGGTTCTGGGTGTGTGAGGTTGGGGGTTGGTGGGAGTTTCGGAGTTAAAGCTTACAGTTTGGAGGTTAATGAGTTTGACGGCTCGAACCTTCTATAAAGAAGCTGGGTATCCCCATGCATGACAAGCTTAAACCGCACGTACGCCCACCCCAGTACCTTAAACCCTCACACCTTAACCCCTGTGAGTCCCAACCCCCCTAGGTAGCGCAGGATTTCCGTGTCCAGTGGTCCAGGAGTGGTCATTGGACGAGCGCCGGTGTACCATCCAAAAGGTCTTCTATGCTCCTGGGCCTCACGAGGGCTTTGGGTTTTCCCAAACCCCTGAACCCTAAACCCTAAAGGGGCCTTTTAAAAAAAAAAAAAACAAAAAAAAATAACCCTAAACCCTAAACCCTATAAACCCATTATGAGGATTTCGAGGGCTTGAACCCCAAGCCGGAGGGATATCGGGCTAGTTTGTCCCTTACCTCTCCCGCTCAAGCACCGCATAGGCCCCTTTCTTGGGGGGGTTTAGGATGTTCTGTGGGCTTTAGGGTTAAGGCTCTCTAGGGCTAAACCCAAGCCGCAAGCAAGGTCTGGATTGGGGACGAGCGTCATCGAAAGCAGAAGAAGTCGAAGAAAGACGACAAGGCATCCTAGATTTGTTATTTCCCTGGACCGTTACGGACAAGGATTGGGTTTTGGGGATGGGGATTCGGTCTTCGGATGGTAGGTCTTGGCTGTTGTTGCGTGTTTAGGGTTTGGAGGTTGATGGCTCTTTAAGGTTTAGGCCACCTCCTGTATTTCTGTGGTCCACTGCCTCCCTGACATTCTACGGCGACGAACCCGAAACGCAGAGGGAATCCCAAGCCCAACTGTCTCGCAAGCCCTCGCTTCCGCTAAGCCCTACACTCATGTAGCTTCAAGCCTGTGCCCGGCGTGTCCGTGTTGAAGTCATCTCGAGATGTCACTCCTCGCAAGTTCGGAGTTTAGCACAAGTGCCAGAAATCCAAAACCATAAAATAGGGGCCTTAGGAATTACCAATGCTATTCTGGGAGATCCTTGTTTATTATACTTATAGTACAATGGCCCCAAAACGCTATTCTAACTATTAAGACCCCTATACTAAGCCCTAGAAGCTGCTGCCAAGCGTCCCAACACTAAAACTCTCAGCTGTAATATTGTAAACCCCAGACCCTAAGACTCACTGTATGGAGTGAATTTCTCGAAGCTGCAGCATGTTGATTGCCAGGGAAAGGACAAAGACAAGCAGCTTATCTGCCTTGATCATTGAAGTGTTTCGGATTGAGAGCCCTAATCTAATCATGAAGGCCCTACCTTATACGACCCTTATAGGTCCCTTATAGGTCCCTCATATAGGTCCCTTATAGGTCCCACTTAAAGGAACCTTATAGGTCCCACTTAAAGGAACCCTATTCTAATTATTAGGACTCCATGGTGTATCGGGCTCAAGGTTCATGGCATGGCTTTGGCATACCAGGTGTCAAGCTGCAGATGATCTTAGGGTTTAGGGTTTAGGGCAAGGGCTCCGTGCGTTTTAAGGCCGCCTACACTTGTCTCTTGTTTTGCCTTCATCCACGCTGGCATGATGCCTTGTTCTTGAGGTCTGATGCTTCGGGCGCGGTGCCCAGTACTTAAAGGATCATGGGGCTTACTATCTGCAAGGGCTCCTTGAAGGGATCCGTACGGGGTTTATGAAAGCTTAAGGTTTTAGGGGTTAGCTATGTGTATGTGTATACATATTTGTGTATATATATATATATATTAATAAGCATGTTCATTCCAGCATCGACATGAACCGGATGCTTGCGACGTGCACGCGATCAGCCTTCGTCTGTGTGCTGAAGCGGTTTTCATGGAGTAAATAAAACAGCCGGGCGCCGAAAGGACGTCAGGGCAGATAAGCTTCATGAGCAGCGCGCGCGTAGCTAATTGGCACACCTGGAAGTAATTGGGCCATGATTGAACTTTCGGAAATGTCTTTAAAACCTTGCAGGCTTCAGTTGAAAATCAAGTATCGCAACTTTGAGCGTGGCTCGCCCAAGCCTGCACATGCCCGCGACGAGTTAAGCAGTCCCTTACAAGTTCGTTGCTGCGACGCCTTTGCCCCCAAAGTCTTCTGATCCACCCTTGTGCTTACCTAGAGGCCCCATAGTAGTTCCTTTTTGGGGTTCATATATAGAATCCAATAAGGGAGTACCGAAAAGGAACTACTATGGGGCTTCTCACTGGAACCCTTTGCTTAAAGACCCCAAGTTCCCAAAACGGCCCGAACCTCTACTTAAAAAGAGCAGAGAAAGCCGAAACCCAAAGCCATGATAGAGCAAGTTCGACGATAAGCCCCTACCTGTTTAACCGCCTAACACAAGTTTGAAGACACCACCGGCACCCTAAACCCAGCACTTGTGTGAGCCTTGCAGCTGTCTCATGGTAACGTCTTGCGATTTCCAGGAGTGCTGCAGGTCTGCTTGGTGGTTCGAGCTGCCGGAAAGACGACAAGCAAATAACGCAGATATGCAGGGCAGCTTTCCCTCCAGTGTAGCTTCTTCTCTTGCAAGCCTACCAGCCTCTTGCAAATACAGCATTAGGCTTCTTTCAGGGTCGAAAAAAGGGTTTAGGGTTTAGGGTTTAGTCTTCCAAGCTATTGGACGATCGACCCGGGAAGCCGCCAACATCCCTTTTTGCTCCTCGCTGGCACAAAGTTGTGGTAGTGGGGGTTTAGCTGACTTTGGGGTGGTGAGGGGTTCAGGGTTACTGATGAAACGTTAGAGTTTCGTACAGTGGAAAGTCACGGGCGAGTAGGTGCAACTTCAACATGTACTGGTCCGGATTACTGGTCTCTACAGCAGCGCAGCATTTCAAACAGAAGCCGCAATGCAAGTCTGCACACGTCACAGAACCATCGATGCATTCTCTGTTACCTTCAGTGACAAGACGCACATCTGATTATAAGAGCAGTATAGTACGCCGCCTGGCGAAATAGCAGAAACTCGATGAGCCTGTCGCGATACATGCACAAAAAAATCAATTTGCGCATTATTACCCGCTGAATTAAATATGTCCGAAACTGACCCTCATTACCATACTCCCAACCCTAAAACCTAAAACAACAAACCCAAAACCCTGGACCCTAAACCATGAATCCAAGACCCTTACAGAGCCCTCAACTTAAAATCCCTAGACCCTTAAAGAGCCCGAGTCCGAAGACACACCCCAACAAGCTCATGAATATAGAATCCTAAACTATATAACAGATGTAGAAACCACGCGCGTTTTTAGGCTGGAAGCCCGTAAACTAAGTCTTGAACCCATCTGAGGAGAACTGGTGGCTGCCTGAGGAGCTTTTCGCCTCCTGCCTTGCAGTCGGCCTCCATTCAACAGCCCTTGATAAGGAAGACCCTGCTCTCTGAACCGCCGTCATTTCTGGATTCTAATCGCAGGGGATGAGTATGAGTACTACCTGGAGCCCAAAAGTATGCAGAACAATAGCCTTTTATAGGTTATGGGCCATTATTTTGCCTACGTTGGGGGGTCTAGGTAGCATTTGCGTGGTGGTTTTTTTGAATTTTAGTGGAAAAAATTTGTCTTTTATTAAAAGTTGATAAAACAATGCAAACACAGGTATTTGGCGCCTTATGGTCTCAACGGGATGCTCAGAGACCAGAGCTCAGGTAGCCATGAGCTTTCGCACGATGAACTGCCGCACAGACACCACCCATGGAGATCGGGCTGCAGAAAGTTTTAAGTGAGTTTCAGTGTTGCGGTGTTCGATGTACCCGGAACTTTAAGCCAGAAGCCCTAATCCTCCTTTCGACATTATCTATAGTCTCACGGGCTTTTGTAGGTCGTGTCGGTGGTAAGAAGGGAAGGTCTTCAGCACGAGATTCAAGGGTCTCAAACAAGCTTTGGATGGAGCACTCAGAGTCTCTTCTTGTCTAATTTGAAAAAAGTTCTTGCTATAATGATCGACAATACCCGCGAGCTTACTTCTGTTTTTGCTGGATTGCATGTTGGCAGAATTAAATTGCACAGGTCTCCGCAACTTGTGGTGGCTTACACTGATACCTTTGCTCTTTGTGGTTTGCGCCGTCGTATGTCAAGTCTTTCAAGTCGGGACCACTCTTCAGGGCTTAAGTTCGGTCGAGGGTTCCAAAAATAGATTAGAAGGGGCCCCCACCCTGTAATAGTGGTATAATAGGAATATGATAGGGCCCTAATATGATCCTTATAGTCACTATTACAGGGTGGGGGCAGCTTCTAAAAAATAGAGTGCTGTTGGGCTTACGGGTTAGTTTTGGCTCGACAGACAGCACGTAGCTCGACCAGGGTAGTGCACAGGCCTACTTTGTTCAGGAGTGAGCTTGCGCTGAATCCCGCACCACTTCAGCTCTCTGTCCTGAAAGGCTGTGTTGTGTTCACTCGTGTACTCACTCAGTGTTACTCTTACTCTTACTATTGCTAATCCTAATACCAATACAATGACAATTACTATTACTATGACTGTGGAGAGGGTACCTTCGGTTTCTTCTCGTGTAACTCCGCACATGGCGGCCCAGAGGTGTTTCTTCAGCCAGCTGCTTGCTTACTGACTCGCCGTTCCCGAGTGTCTGTCGGACTTCGGAAGACTTCGGGCCCAGGAAAAGGTCACAATGTCTCAGGGAAGTTTGGTAAGGGGTTCAATGACATCTTGCAAGCTGGTCTATTCTCGAGCATATACATCTGAAGAGTCACCGACTTCTGTCTTTGCGGCTCAGGCAACCCAGCCATAGGCCGTCGTGAACATATGAGGCTCCGGCGGAGATCACACAGGATTTGGGATGTTCGTGGTGTCATTCTTTGACTTTTTCGGATTTGCGGTGCCACATTCGGAAGTCCTGCTAGATTCTGGACTCTGAAAGTCTACAAGTCAAAGAGCTTAGGGGCATGCTCCTGTCCACCCCGCGGGCCCACTTCACGCCAGCATCTTTGCATACCTTGTTCGTTGAACCACGACCATCATGTCAGAACCGCCCTGAAGTGTCCAATACCCACCCAGGTCCCTGAACCCTTCAGATTTTGACGCTTAATTAAACCAACCTCCTCAGAAGTTCGGAAACCAGAATACGTACCCAGATCCCGAAGGCTTGGACCCCCAAAAAGGCTAGGGTTCAAAGCTGGGGTTTTAAGGTTTAGGGTGAGTTCCCAAACCTCAACCCTATTCAATATTTAGGGCTCAGGGTTTGGGTCGCCTTTTGGTGCTTTGGGTTCTTTTGGTGCTTAGACTCGAAAGTCTTGACGCATTGAAAATTCAAAGCCCCTTGTTGGGCCAGGGAAGTTATCAGCTGACGCATGATTCACGGTACCTGATCTGTCATTCGTGGTGACATACCCTTATAGTCCCTAAATTTGGCGGTACACCCAAGGCCCTGTTCTGACCATTACACCCTCAGATTAAGGCTTTAGGCCTGTAGTAACCGCTGCACACATGCTCTGCCTGTCAGACCGGTTCATGTTTTGGGGATTGGGGATCCAGGGCTGGCAGGGCTTGCAGCGATGAGAGGGTGTAGGATTGAAGTTGTCAGCCAAACTCCTAGTATGATTATTGTAACTGTGATTGTTGTATCTCTTTCAGTCTTCTTTTGCTTGTCTTCACATGAGGGCTGCTGCTTTTCCAATAAGGGGCCTGCAACAAGCTCCGTGTGCTTCAGGCTCCACCTGATGCATCGCGAGCGCTTGCAGCGACCTAACTGACACTGTCACTGCGGGGATTTGGCGTTCAGGATGTACGACTTCTGGTTGTGCCGTGGTTCAGGGTTTACATGTTTTGCTCTCCGAGTACTTCGTTCTCCAGCAGCAACGAATCGGTCAGTTTTTTTGGGCTCTTACAGTTTGTTGTTGCTCTGAGAAGCTAACCTCTCTAGTGACTAGTCTCATCCGGCCATGGGGAGAGGATTTCAGGGCGCAGAGTGTAGGGTTTGGGTCTCAGGGCCAACCAGCAGTGACGTGGAGAGACCTGGGTAGAGCCATATATAGCAGTCCGGACAGTGGAACAGGCCATAGTTTCGCTTAGGGTTTAGGGCTCAGACTACAAATTTTCCTCTAGAATCGATATAGATGACATAAGCAGCCCCCAAATCTCTTCTGGTTCTAGGCACCTAGACCCCCGACCCTAAACACCAAACAAGAATCTCCACAAAAGCAACCCAAAAGTCTTTGCCTGCTGATATGCTGCGTTGAAGGATCAAGGAAACCCTGGGCCCCACCAGGGTTTAGGCATTAACTTAGGGGTACTTAGAAATAGTTATTTTAATTTTGGTTATTATAATCCCTAAGAAACAGCTAAAATCATAATTTTGTGCTAGGGTTCTAAGTTCAGTATAGGTTAAGACCCTAAACCCTGAACCCCAAGGACTTAAAACGCCAAGCCCTATATACACGCCAAGGCTCTAAGACTAAACCCAAAACCACAAGCCCCCAAAAAACCTGAGAGCAGTAGCCTTCGGCAGAAGCGGGTTCCTTGATATGTCAGTGCCCTAGCATGTCCCAAAACTCCACTCAAAATTACCATGGCCAAAATCAAAGATGCTCAAAGATTTCGGAATTCGTGTTTGGCTTGGCCTCGAAGAACGTGGGCAGGCG